TATACTGATCCTAATTGGATCGAGAAAATAAAAGAAATGAGAAAGGACGAATCACATGATGGTGTATTCGATTTGATCGTGGATTCGGCCGGCGGTGAACAAGTCCCATTGTTGCTCGAATTGTTAAAACCCGCAGGAAGATTTGTATTCTTTGGAGAGGTAGGGCATTTTTTCTTTAATAAATATACTATACTTTTCATCAAATCCTTTTTTTTTTTAAAGACTCGCGGACCACCAAAAGGAATTCCCAATTGGCGGTCTATCTATTTAAAATCGCTTACAATCATGGGAACCTTGTTTGGGAGCCCCTCAGAGTTTCGATCCATGATGGATTTTATTGAAAAGCATGAATTAGTACCAATCATCGATTCGATTATACCATTTAATTGCATCATGGAACAATTCAAAAAGATGGAACAAGAAAAGCAAATTGGAAAATTGGTAGTATCTTTTGGATAATTGTCAAAGGAAAAGAAAGAAATATTCTTATCACCGATTCTGAATACTGTATCATGTTCTAAAAATTTTATTATCATATGGGTTTGGTACACAGCAAAGCCATGCTTGGAGACACATTTTCGATTTGGAAATATAGACAATTATCAATTCAAATTTATACTGTATTGAATAAAAATCGGCGCGCAAGATTGTACTAAATTATAATATATTCCGATTTGCTATGTAACAACCCATATGTAAAATAAATGAAAGAACAAATAGTAAAACAAAATATGTGAAATTAAAATTTAAATTGATTTAATAAAATCTAGGTGAAACAAAAAAAATTCAAAAATTATAACCAATATTAATTTAATATAAAAAAATAAAGGTTTGTTTTAATTAATCAAGATAAATTTATTATATAGAAAAACTATTTATTTATTTATTTATTGTTGTTTAAAGTATCATTATTCTATCTTTCATTTTCTACTGAGCAGAAAACAGGATCAACAAAAGTTTACATCTAAATTAAATATAATATACAGCATCTAAGGTTTAAGTTTAAGATAAATTACCATATACAAAAAAAAAATTAAGTTTGTTGAATCGTTTGTCTGTTGAGGCATCCGCGTATATTGATTTTTTAGCGATAGTTATAATTATATCATGAATAATTTGTATAATATTTAAAAACAGTAATGTAATAGATTGTTAATACAGTATTTTTCATATGAAAAAATTAGGAGTAATTCCAGAGAAATGTAAGACATTCATTTATTGTGGGTATTATGTTCTGAATATGCATTGAAGTTGGATTGCAGTATGTAGAAATAAAAAATTGTCGGCTTTCGTAATTTTACAGTATAACGAAAATCCGTAGTAAGAGTCGGTCATGAAGTGTTCCCCGTTAATGTTCGTAAAGTATTAAGAATCTAGGCAGAGTAGCCTGTGAACAAAGCGAATGAAATTAATAGAATGGAAAATATCTCTATCAAAAATTTCATAATTCAATGAAACTTGCATCTTCGTGATTTATAAACATCACGTCCGAATCGTCACTATTAATCTCCAATACGTCGACGATAAACATCGTGCTAAAGTATGCTCGCGGATTAATTTTGTTAAAGGAGTATATAGAAGCGATTGAAGGTTTTTTTGAAAACCACATTTCTAGAAATACAAAGGATCTTAGAATAGTGACATAACAAAATGCAATGAAGATGACACGCTTATTTCATGTAAAAAAAAAAAAAAAATTGGACGAGGTGGGTTATACAAAGCAAAGATTCATGAATGCATACTTCTACCGAATTTTGAAAATTTGGATTTAATTCCGTACTTGATAATTCCACACATCCCGCAACGTTTATCTTCACAACATCCACGCCGCAAAACTTTATTAGGGTCACATGTAGCCCTTGTCCCATGATAAACCCTCTTTGTTATTTCTCCAAAACATGTGCTGTCATTTCTCGTTCGCCCAATTTTTCCTTCTTCCATATAACTTCTTGCCATCTCCCTTCTCAAATTTAAATATCTCATCGTGCGTTCTTTAGATAATTTGATTCTAATTATCGAGATAACTTTGGCATATGTCATATAACTCATGAAATCGGTTTTGATATTGGTGTATTCAGGATCCGATTCAGCAAGAATTGTTAATTGAGGGGAGGTGATCAGTTCATATATTGTTTGGTAACAATAAGGATCACACGAAGAATGATTGTGATGGTTTCTTCTTGGTTTAGAACATGTAGGCTGAGATGAATCAAACAAAGTAGCCGACGAAGAGAAATCAAGTAGATCGTCACAATTGTATATGTAAGAAGAAGATATGTTTGATTCGAAGGAACTTCCAATGGAAGAATAAATATATTTTCGCTTTTTCCATGATTTATTGACAGTAACTTGATAGCTTCCGAAAGGATTAAAAGTCCTAGGCAAAGAAAGTATTTTTGGAAAAAATTTAAATACATCCATACTGAATTTTGTGGAAACGTCAAAAAATATCTATATATAAAAAGAAGTGTGAGATCACCGTTTTACTTTTAAAACAAGACAGATGATTCGGTAATTAGATGATAAACAAGAAGACGCTTTAAATCATGATAGATATCGTTTGCTTTAACGGTTCATAATGATCGATCGATTCTACATGACAAGTTAATTATAAAAAACAAAAACAAATAAATATCACCAGTCCAAATGTATATATTAGTCTAAGAAAACTACTGTGATAAAAAAAAAAACATTTAACAGTATATTCTAGGATCGAGTTCGTTTACGCGAATGGTAAACGTGCACATAAGCAACTTTTCTTTTAAGATACACTTGGCGGTTAAGAAAGAATAGTAAAAAAAATAACCTAGGTTATTTGTCGATAATTTTATTTCTTTGAATTTTGGATTTAAACTCGAATTACTTCTACATGTTAGCATATAGATAATATGTTTAATTTAAAATTAAATGCGGTATATTAAACTGTGTAGAAATCTGACTAGAATGTTTAGTGTTTGTAATTCCCCCTAAACTTTTTTTATCAATTAGAGTCGGAGAAACCGTTACGGAAAATCAAAAAAAAAAAAAAAAACTCCCCCATTATCTGTCCTGACGCGAATTCATTTATCATTAGCGCCTCGTTTTGCCATCTCGTTGTTTTCGTTCAATATGAAGAACGTTTGTTAAATAAATTTCCAACTGTTGCTTTAAATAAGACGAGAAGACAATTAACAGATGGCCCCGTACTTACCATTTTACAATATTCGTATAATCGACTAAAGTCCTCGAGTCGTGACATAATGTGTGAAAAAAAATTTTCGCTTGCATATTAAAAATATAATCATATTATGCACGTATGATGGCAAATTACAGAATTACTGCGTATGTATTTGATCATTGCGACGCGTGCGTCACCAATGAAAAATTTAAATAAAAGGGAAAAAAAATCCATTCTCCTTAACCAACTATCATTCTCAAGGTTCAAAAAAAAAAAAACAATTAAAACTATTACAATTCATCATACATATATTTCCCGAGACTTTGAAATAAAAAACACAGATTACAATTATTACCATAGTTATCGATTACTTTATATCTATTATTAAGTGATTTTATTCGTTCTCATATCCCAAACATTATTGGAACGAGATTTTTGATTTTATAACATATCAAATATATCTATATATAATTAAATCGGTATACGCATATATGAAAGTTTACGTGATCCAAAGTATCATATAAAATAATTTATAAATATGAAATAAATTTGTAAATATATAAAAAACTTGATATATATATATATGTATAAACATAATCTAATAAAACTTTAAAAAAAAATCTAAGCAATAAAATTATTAAATATATTAGAACATAATTTTAACGAAATAATTTTTTCGTATATAAATATAAATTAACAATATAGTATATAATGTTTGGAAACATCAATATAATTAATAAATAAAATTTTTATATATTTATATTAATTAATTAAAAATTATAAGATTTCTTGATTTGGATATATTAATTATTATTATTATTATTCCGTTTTTTTTTTTCTAAAAATAAATTTTGAAATTGATTTTTAAATAATTTATCTTATTTAATACAAATATATCAAAAATCATTAATATCAAATAATATTATAAAAAGAAATAACATTTAAAAAATGAAAATAAAAAATCTATTAATAAAATTTATTTTATAATATTTTTATTGTTAAATATATCAATATAATAATTAATGTTTCTGTTTAAAAAAAAAAGATAACAACATTAATAATAAATTAATAAATTATATCAATTAAATAATTTAAATTCACAGTGAAATATTTTAAATAAAATTTATTATATTACAAAAAAAATAGTATTCATATTATTAAATTATATAGTATTTAATGATAAAATTATTCTTTTATTTTTATAATTATGTTTTTTTAATTTAAAAAATTATTTTAATGATAATTATATTGAATTTAATAATATATTATAAAATTTTTATAGATTTTAAAGGTATAATAATAATAATAATCAATATTTATATGAATATTATTTAATTAATTTACTTTATATATTTCAAATCATTGTCTTGTTGAAATATATATATATTTGTTATATGTTTAAAATTTTTTCACCATCTATTTCAAATATAAATAAAATATAATGTTTTAATATTTAATAACTTGTTCATTCATTTATATTTAATTATTATCTTGTTGAAATATATATATTTGCTATTTGTTTAAAAAATTTTTCAAATTTTAAATAGATTATTTAATAAATTTAATTATATATTTCAAATTATTATCTTGTTAAAATATATATATTTATTGATTTGTTTAAAAATTTCTTAATTCAATATAATATTATTACAAAATTTTAAATAAAAGTATAATTACTTTAATATTTAATAAATTATTTATATATTTTAAATTATTATCTTGTTGAAATATATCTATTTATTATTTGTGTAAAAAATTTTTTAATTTAAAATTTAAAGAAAAATAAAAATAAAAATAATAAATTTAATAAATTCTAATTTTATTTAAAAGAATATATATATATATATATAATATTTTTAAGATTTGATATTTGAAATATAGATTTTAAACATATCATTGTCTTGTTGAAATAAAAAATTTAATAAACTTTGATTTTATTCATAAGAAAATATATCTATATATATATAATATTTTTAAGATTTGATATTTGTGATATAAATTTTAAACATATTATTGTCTTATTGAAATATTTATATTTATTATTTATCTAAAAAAGTTTTTTCATCTAAAAAAAATATTATTTATTAATATATATATTATAATTTTAATAAAAAACAATTTTTTTTAATTTTATTATTACTTATTTTATAATAAATATATATTAATTACTTTATGAATAATTTTATTTTTATTTATAAAATTAAATACCATTATAAATGGCCTTAAAAAATTATAGATATTTTAATTAAAAAAACATATTTTATTAATTTAAACTAATAACATTTATGAGTTGTAACTTTCAATCCTTTAATTTATACTAATGGCAGTATAACTTCAAATATATACAACTCAACAAAATGCTTATTGATATAATTATCTTTCCCATAAACTTCTCTAATATCAAAAGTTACTTAATCTTTATAGATACAATTTTTTATTTAGATTATATAAGATCACAAAACCTATAATAAACAATAATCAATAAAAATATATAAATTTTAACTTAAATTTATAAAAGATATAACACATTATTTATATTTTTCTTTAATTGATATCTTTTCCATAAAATTCAACATATTTTATTAATATAATAGCCAAGAAAATATTATCAATATAAATTTTAATTATTTAATATTTTTTAAAAAATTTTTCATAAATTTTCTTAATATTTAAACTATTATCAAATAAATAAATAAATAATTTAATTTAATTTCAAGTTAAAAATTTTTTTATTTTATTATATTTAATTAATTATATTTATATCTAAATTTATATATTATATTATTATGTAAAAAATTTATTAAAAATTTATTAAAATTATTATTAAAAAATTAAATAAAAAAAAATATTTAATAACATTTATTAATATTTAGTAGGGTAGCCATAGGCTTTTATTATAACCTTTATTTAATTTTTCATATTAGTTATTAATCTTTGAAATATATTACTTGAAATTTGTAATCAATATTCTTGTAAAAAAGTTTTCAATTTATTCAAATTTTTTGAATAAATATTTTTTACCCTTATATACTATTCAAGCTTATTCCATAAATATTTGATGGAATTTAAATCTAGACTTTATCCTAATCATAATAAGAAAAATATTGTCATTTCATTTATGAAATTTTGTATTTGTATATTGATATGAATTTTAGTATTATCTTGCTAAAAAAAATATTTATTGTTGCTTTCTTCAAATTCCTCTAAAAAAGATATTAAATAATAATTAACAATCTCTTCTATATATCTTTGACTATTAACATGACTATCAATTTTAACTAAAGAATCCAATACAAACAAAAAAAATATTCCTATAATATAATTTCCACCATTATATTTTATTATAAAAACAAGATAACTAAAATCATATTTTTCTTTAGAAAGTTTCTATATATGAATTTTTCTATTATTTTTAAATAATATAAATCTTGATTTATTGTTCTATACTATTTTTTTTTAATTATCTATTTTTCAAAAATATTTTTCTATGCTGATTTTTTGATTAACCTTATTAATGAAAGGTTTTTTAAGGTCTATTCAACTATAATATCCCATTTTATATAAAGTATATCTAATAGTTCTTTGACTTATTTTATTTTCAAATGATTCCAAGAAAATTTTATGTATTTTTTCTATAGGTTCATAGAAGTTTTTTTTTTTATTGTCTTGAGATAGTATTGATTATGTTAAATCATTTTTTTTGAACATTTACTTTTTGAAGTAACAGAAATAGTATTGAATTTGTAAAATTTCATTATAATATTATAAATTGTAGTTTTACCATATCTAGTTTTTTTTGAAATTGTTCTTTTAAAATCATCAGCTTCATGGAAACCAATTATTCTTCCACATTTGAAATCTGTTAACTCTTTTTTTTTTATCATTAAAAAAAAAAAGTAATAAAGTGACTAAACAAAAATAATATACATATATAGAGCTATTAATGTTAATAATATGAAATGTGTCTTTTTTTTTTGGCAAATCATATAATTGTATAAAGCAAAATTTTTATAAATTACTAAAATGGTTCTAAACTTTTGGCCAGAAAGTATATTTTTAAACTTATCATTATTTTCTTGAAAATCTGTTGGTATAGATAGGATAAAATCATAATTTTTATTTTATTTAAGCTCTAAAATGACTTTAATCAATTCAAAAATAACAGAAATTAATTTTATTGTTATAATTTTATCAAAAATTATTTAAATATTATAAAAATTTAAAATAATATTCTTGAAAATCTATAGTTTAAAATTATTTAAAA